TGTCAAAGGCCAGAAACCTACCAACGCCCACCCTATCACCCCCTAAATTACGAATTCCTAGATTAGAAATTCGTTTTAGTTTACGAGTTTAAACTTTTTAAAATCAAGGCACCTTAGGGACTAGTCCGTGGCTATCAGTAATTTTGTTAGTGAGAGACTAGTTCCACTCTTAGCTTTCCTCGAGGCAGGCTGACTTGGGAGCCTGCGCTCAAATAATGGGAGGTTTGTGAGGGCAGTGGAGGGGGAGAGGAGCAGTTTCAGGTGGGGACGGGGGAGGCTTGGCTCTGGAGGGCAGCATTTTCAAGGCAGTGTGGAGGTATCAGACATAGAGCAAAAGACGAGCAGTGTCCTCTGGAGAGGAGATGCCAAAAATAAACTTCATTTCTTTCCAGATTTTGCTCACCTCCAGTTCCAAACTGGTTGCAGTCAAAACTGCTATTTCTGCAGCCAGCCACACCCAGACCCTGTGCCCTACCCTGCCCACAATCGTCCAGTGCCTTGTGTCTCCTTTAATTGTTTCTTCCCCTCCTCCCGGACCCTAGGCCCTCATCAGCCCCTGCTGAGCTCTAGGCCTCCCAGCCACCCTGCCCACCCCCGCCCCTGCCCCGCATGGTCTGGTGGGTTTACCCTGAAAGTCCAGCCTCGAGCCCTTGCAACGGCTTCCATTTTATTCTCCATCCCTCCATCCTCACAGTCACTTTTTCTGGCTTCCAAGCTCCATCACCACAACCTTAGTCTGTTCTAAACCTCCATTCAAAGTTTATAACTTCAGCTTTGGGAAACATTTCAAACCCACAGACAATTTTGGGGGGACTATAAATATTGGTAAACACTTAAGTACCACTCACTTGGCACCAGGTACTGTTCTAGCACCTGTATGAACTCATTTAACCCTCCCAGCAATGCCACAAGGTAGAAACTTGTGTTAAACTCATTTTACAGATGAGGGCACAGAGGCACAAGTAGGTAAAGTAACTTGCCCAAAGTCTTAACGGCTAGTGAGAGGCAGGACCAGGAAACTTAAACCCTCGCAGACTGGCTTCGGATCTGTATTTTCAGTCACTGCTGTATTGCATCTTTGTAGAGCATTTTACAGAGGGCTGCTTACCCACCCATTCCCCTCCCCCGACACACACTCCAGGGCCTCTAATGTGGAAGCTGGACCGATTTTTCTAGTACCAGTAGGTAGTCACATCTTGCATGGTTCTAGGGGTCCAGGCAATGTCCTGTGTTCTCTCTGTCCATCATTAGTGGTAACATGAAACACAGTTTCCCCAGTTCCAGGGTATGGAATTTTATTCTCTTACTTGTGAAACAGATCCAAGGGTGCGGCAACAGGACTATGTGTTGGGGTGTGTGAGAGCAGGGCCCAAAGTAGCAGAGTGTTGTTATAGGATTGCCACTGAACCCAGCTCCAAACTGTGCCACTTGTCCCCCCTCTTGCCATATCCCCTTGGAAGCCTTCTCCCCCTCTTGCAGCCCCACTCCCAGGTTCCCAGAACTTCCATTGTGGTGCCTGGTGGATGGCCCTCTTGGACAGACTGCTCCCACTTTCAGGGCAAGGCCCATCCTTAGGGAGTGAAGGCAAACCTCGCTGTTCCCCAATAGGAACAAGATTGACAAAGATTGAAGTGAGCTTAAACAGTATCCTTAAGGAAAACCAGAGGGGTTGCTTGAAAAACTAGAAGGGGAACAGACAGGCACCGAGAGGTTATTGTACTTAATGATCATGGGAAGGGTTTAGGGCTAGTTGTGTATGTAAGAGCCTCATGCATTTTAAGCTTCATGAAAGGGGGACACTTCTTTTCTTCCTGCCCCCCTGAGTCCCCTCTCCCACTATTGGAGCAAAGCTATCCTCCACCCCCAACCAGCACACGTACAAAGCACAGTTATCCTTTGAACTACTGGGGGTGGGGTCGGTTGGGGGCACCAAAAATTTGCATATAACTTTTGACTCCCCCAAAACTTAGTTGCCAATAGCTTCCTGTTGACTGGAAGCCTTACTGATAAACAGTTGGCTAACATATATTGCATATTATATGTAACATATACTGTATTCTTACAATAAAGTAAGCTAGAGAAAGGAAAATGTTATTTAGAACATCATAAGGACGAGAAAATACATTTACAGTACTGTATTTATCTATACTATAAGTTTACACCATCTGTTTACAAGTCGTCTGTCAGCACCTACGTCAATATTGTCATATAATACAAAACACTGTAGATGTTATGTGTATTACTAACACTAGGCATCAAAAATGAAGAGATAATGTGAAAAAGAAGTTTGTATATATTTACAGGTATAACGATTCATGCACTGATAATGAAGAAGCAGCATTATGATTGCTTTATGGTAGCCTAGTGTAATTGACAGGATGGCTTCCCAGTAGCCTAGCCCATGCACTAATGAATGAATCATTGTAAAATTTTTATGGCATATGGTGTCATATTCATAACACAGTGCTAGAAACACTGTTACATGTTTTTTAAAAACCACTTACCTGTGATGATAGGCTGATACATAGTGTCTCCAATTATGAGAGAGAGAAGCATACTGTACAGTAATGTAATTCTTTGAGAGCAGAGTTATAAAACAGTAAGAAAACTAACACATTATGAATTTTATACTATCACTCACCTCGTGCGTGTGTAAGGATAGGCTGTCCACTTCAATACAAGTCTTGCACACAATATTCTACATGTATATTTTTGTATATCTATTGAAAACCACATAAAAATGGACCCGTGTAGTTCAAACCATGTTGTTCAAGGCTCAGCTGTATACATCAACCCCACGGTGATCAGCCTAATTCATACATGTGAGAAATGCTTGTACTCAGGACCTATTTTGATGATCAAAACTTACCTGTTCAATGTCTCATTCCCTCAGATCCTTGTGGATGACCGGCTTGCTGTTCTTGGATAAGCTAATTCAGGAGAAAATATAGTTGAGATAACATGGTACCCCTTACAAAGATATTTACTCTTAAAAAAAAAAAAAGACTTCTAGCAAACAAATGGCTCAACACCAGTCCCTAACAGACTTCTCCCAGCCAGCCTCTCACCCTGAAAAACCTCCCCTCCTCCCTCTCTCTCCATATACAACTCCCCTGCCCTTCCCACTCAGCGTAAAGCTCACCTCCATTAAGCCTTCCTTGACTGAGGCTGCCCACAGTCATGTTTTTTTCCGCTTGACACACGCAGCACTAGAACAGAATTTGGCAGGAGGAAACAGAACCAAAACCAGAAGCAGAACAAAAGGAAGAGAACATTGGGCTGGATGATCTCAGAGATGAGCTCAGCTCATTCCCTCATTTCACAGGTGAGGAAACAAAGACAGAAGTGACCAGCCCATGGCAAGTCAATGGCAGTATGGGGGCCATCAGGGTTGTTTCTGCCCAGCCTTCCCCTCTTTTGCCAGGAAGAGTCTCCTCTTCTTTTGGGGTACTGCTCACCCTACCATTCACCAAAAAGAGCTTTGATAGGAATTGCCAGTCAGGGTGCCTACCACTCCCAGTGGACATATGATCTCAAATGGGCCACTTAGCATCCTTCCCTGGAATTTTAAAAATCAGAATTAAGAAGAAGCAGCCTTCTCTGTGGGCTTATAAGCTGCCCTCAGCCATGGCTCCCCCCTCATTAAAAAAGCCAGTCTCAGAGGAATAAACACACACTCATTCATTTGCTCATTCATTTATTCATGAAACAAACTATTTATTAAGGGCTTTCCATGTGCAAGACACTTCTGCGCCCTAGGAATAACATGTTGGGCAAAAACAGGCCCAACTGCTGTCCTTGTGGGGCTTACAAGTTTGCAGGGGAGACATTCCTTAAATAATCATGCAAGCAAAGTAAAACTCCTATTTTAACAAGTAGTGAGAAAAGGTAGTCTTCTGAGAATATACAATAGACTACAGGGTTTTTTTGTGAGCAGCACATCACTTTATTTCTTTGGTTTTCCAACTTCTTTCTTTGACAATGCAAATTCAGTCTCTCGCCTGCCACTGTGTGGTCCCTCACTGAGACGGGCACAGGCTCTGAGGAGAGGCTCAACAGAAAGACTAGGGTCTCCAAGAGCCATTCAGGCTAGCTGAGAACTGCAGGGTCCACAGTTGATAAGCCAGTGTGTACACTGCGCAAAGCAGCACAGCCAAGGGGACAAGTGGGCTGAAATTCCATCTAGAGTCTTCTCACCAAGCCATGAGGCCTGGTGTGAAGCTGTATGTGCCCAGAGGAAGGGGGGCCCTATTCTTCACACCCTGGTGCTGTCCATGCAAAAGGGTCACCTTTTTCTAATTTGCCCCAAAGGCTTGAAGAGACCAACCAGGTCTCTGGGTGAGATTCAGTCAGGGAGCTGAGTCAGGGGAGGGGAGGCTTTCCTGAGGAAGTGACTGGACACAAGAATAATGAGTAGCTGATAAACTAAGAGGGAGGGAAGAGCTCTCCAGACATAGCCAGTGCAGTGACCTTGTCTTGATGGCTATCTAGTCCCAATTGCTTCTGAAGCCTGGCAGATCCCCTTCCTCCCAGGGGATTGGTTTCATGACAATACATTCCCTCTTTGTAATTCAAATTAGGTTTCTATCACTTGCAATCAGAGCAAAGCTGATCCAGCTCTCCTTCCTCCCAAGTCCAGTGGGCCTCCCCACTCTGCCAGGCCCCACCCTCCTGTGTGAGAAACCTCTGCTCTGTATGGCCGCCTTACCTTCAGAACAGGATGGCCGCCTTACCTTCAGAACAGGAGCTTTGTCTTTGATGATCTAGCGCTGTCTCCAGCATGCAACAAAAACTCAGTAAACACTTCAAGAGTAGATTTCTGTACTTTTCGCATCACCCACCAAGCTCCTCCATGGTTTCTGCTGGCCCTGAGCATACACAGTCTCCAGTTTATACTTATGTTACTAGATGGCTCTGATTTGTCTAGAATTTGGCTGTAGGTAGCCAGCGGGATTGATTTCACAAGGAAGAATCAGCGGCTTTTATTCTGTCTCTGCGTGCTACATGCCAGTGGGCCACCTTTAAGACGAAGCACAGTCCAGATCTGAAAGTCTATAGCTGAATGTTAAAGATGTTTTTCACTCTGTGCTTAATATTTACTAGGGCCCTGTCTAGAGGTGTCGGGAAACTTGAAATCCTCCATGGTTTTATCAGCCGGGAACAGTCTGCTTTCCCACTTGGTCTTCGTATTATTCCTAAATTAAGGGCAATCACTCCTTGGTGCATATCCTTCCCTTCCAACTCCAGTATCTGAACAATTTCAGCTTCATGCTACATCTCATGCTGCTGCTGCTGCTGCTATTAATTATGTGTGTTTTTTTTTTTAAAATAAAAAGCTGGTATTTGAGGCTTTGTGAGACTCATGTCCCCTTTTAATAAGCCAAATTCTAATGGCTCGAGCTGCACTCTGTTCTATGGAGGCTGCTGAATGAGCCAACGTTGGGAATAAGAATCATGGAATTACCTTGCTTTGTCGTCACTCTGTCTCAAGATCCAAGGGTTGAGGAACGGCAAGGTTGGTGTGGCTGAGGAGACTTCATATATGTCACGTTAGTTGGTGTCCCTCGTGCTTTTGTTTCACACCTCTGAACCAGTTTTTGGTATGCAGGAGTCAGGAATACATCATCCTATTCTCGAATCTGGAACCTTGGTCTAAAAAAGCAATTTTCAATCTTTTTTTTTTTTTTTGCCATGATACTCCTGAAAAATATGTTCCCATGAGCAACTTGTTCCCACAAGCTTATTAAGATTAGGAGCGAGGCAATATATACCACAGATTTATATGTATTCACATGGTCCTAACTAGGTCTTCCACTCAAGAAAGCACATCAGAACACAAGGGAGTGAAACTTATGTTAGTATAAAGATAACTGTTAGTCAATTCAACTAATCTTTTTAAAAAACAATACAGCCTACAGAATGGAGAGAGATTTTTGAATCACACATCTGATAAGAGCTTGGTATCCAGAGTATATTTTTAAAAACTCTTATAACTCAACAACAAAAAGGCAATCAACCAAATTTTTAAATGGGCAAAGAATTTGAATAGACGTTTTTCCAAATAAGATATACAAATGACCAACAAGTGCATGAAGAGATGCTCCACATCATTGGTCATTAGGGAAATGCAAATCAAAGCCACCATGATATATCACTTTATATCCACTGGGATGGCTGTAGCAAAAAATAAATAAATAAAAACTGTGGGTGATGATGTGGGGAAATTGGAACGCTCATCTTTTTCTGGTGGAGGTGTAAAATGGTTCAGCCATGGCAGGAAATAGTTTGGCAGTTCCTCAAAAGTCTAAACATAGAATTATCACGTGAACCAACAATTCCACTCCTATGCATATACCTAAAATAAGCAGGTATACTTGTACACAAACAGCAGCACTATTCACGGTAGCAAAAAGGTGAAAACAACAACCCAGATGTCCATGGACAGATGAATGAATAAACAAATTGGGGTATATGCATACAGTGGAATATTCTTAGCCATTAAAAGGAATGAAGTACTGATACCTGCTACCACATGGATGAATCTTGGACACGTTATGCTAAGTAAAAGAAGCCAGACACAAAAAGGCCACATATTGCATGATTCCATTTATGCAAAACACCCAGAATAGGTAAATCTATAGAGACAGAGTAGATCTGCATTTGCCAGGAGCTGGGGAGGGGTGGGGCGGGGGTGGGCGGAGGGATTGGGGAATAACTGCTTAATGGATACATGGTTTTACTGCTGGGTGATGAAAATGTTTCAGAACTAGAGAGAGGTGGTGGTTGCACAACACTGTGAATGAACTGAATGCCACTGAATCGTTCACTCTAAAATGTTTAATTTAATGTTATGTTAATTTCACCTCAATGAAAAGCATAATAAAGCATTCTAATTTAGGCATTTTATTATCAATAAGAAATAACCTAGTAACACAGCTCTGTCAAGACACTGTAATCTGACATGCTCTACCATGACAATATCGCTTCTATTTCTGTTTTCTTTAATTCTCAACTAAGTGTTCACCACTGTGTATCACATAAAAATCCATAGATTTTGGTGGGAAGGAGGGAGATGCAAGAGGGAAGAGATATGGGGATATACGTATATGCATAGCTGATTCACTTTGTTATAAAGCAGAAACTAACACACCTTTGAAAAGCAATTATACTCCAATAAAGATGTTAAAAAAGAAAATAGAAAAAATAAAAAGGAGTTGAAAGAGGTTAGCTCTGGGTAACAAAAATGTGCAGTAAATAAATCAAAGGATTGCTATTCATTTAAAAAAATGCATAGATTTTTAGGTAGGTATGTACTTATACCGTTCATTGTGCTTCCTTTTCTATCAGCTGGCTTATTTTGAAAGGGACATAACTCTTGATTTCTTCAGTTAAATTATCAATCCTGTTTAACCAAGTCTCAAAGATACCTATAAGGTCTTATTTCCTTCCACATGTTAACATCTCAAGCCGTACATAACCATGCCACTATGTTAGTGTTTCTCAAAAGTGAAATCTGTGGACCACTTGCATCAGAATCACCTAGCCCCAAATCCAGACCTACTTAATTACACTATCTGGGGGGGTGACCCCAGGAATCTGCATTTTTATTAAGCACCACTGCCAGATGCTTTTGTGTGTAGATACTTGGACCATTAGTTTTGTTCTCGATTTACCTTTAATAATTAATTTACTAATTCATTCAAACAAACATTTATTGAGTGCCCACGAGGGCACTATGCAAGATACTACAGTGAGAAAAGAAATGGAAACCACAGTTTGCAAAAAAACAAAAAACAACCTGCGTTGTGATTTGCAAAATAGATTAACTATGCCAGAATATAGTGTGTAACATAAACTATCTAAATTCAAATTATTTTAACACCTGCTCATTCGGACCCATATAACCCAATATAAGACCACAGTAACAATAACTCCACATGGATTTATGTGTTCCAAAGACCACGGACAGTTCTAGCAACTTGCCAGATTTACAAATTTTGTCAATCCCTGACCTAAACTGCCCTATGACTAATTCCAGCCCTCCAAACTCTACAAGTACCCTTCTCTAACTTCCCCCTTTGGACACCCTGCCGAGACTCCAGAAAAGGTTGTTTTCCTTGCTCTGCAATTGCAGTAGACTCAGCTTGTATAAGCAGTAAGTTTCCCTGGTGCACTTTCTGTGGGACTTCAACAGCAGGTACAGATATAAAAGTTATTTTGCTCTATGAATGATTGTTTACCTACCTTACTGTTATTTTGCATTCTGTTGTATGTGATGCTATTCCTAGAATCTAAGTGTATAATGTTTCTGACATTTTCCTCTTTTTCTTTTTTTTAAATTTATTGAGGTTTGTTTTGTGGCCTAGCATGTGATCTATCCCGGAGAATATTTCATGTGCATTTGTAAAGAATGTGTATTCTACTCTTTGGGGATGGAAAGTTCTGTAGGTATTAAGTCCATCTGATCTAATGTGTCATTTAAGGTCAGTGTTTCTTTATTGATTTTCTGTCTGGATGATCTATCCATTGATGTAAGTGGGGTATTAAAGTCCCCTACTATTATTATATTACTGTCAGTTTCTCCCTTCATGCCTGTTAATATTTTCTTTAGATATTTAGGTGCTTCTGTGTTAGGTGTGTATATGTTTATGAGTGTTACACCCTCTTCTTGGATTGACCCCTTTATCATTATTGCAGTGCCCTTCTTTGTCTTTTGTTATAGACTTTGTTTTAAAATCAATTTTATCTGATGTGAGTATTGCTACCTCTGCTTTCTTTTAGTTTCTGTTTGCATGGACTATCTTTCCATCCCTTCACTTTCAATCTCTCTGTGTCTTTCACTCTGAAGTGAGTCTCTTGTAGGCCATGTATAGATGAGTCTTGTTTTTTTAATCCATTCAGCCACTCTGTCTTTTGATTGGGGCGTTCAGTACATTTACATTTAAAGTGATTACTGGGGTTTCCCTGGTGGTGCAGTGGTTGAGAGTCCGCCTGCCGAGGCAGGGGACACGGGTTCATGCCCCGGTCCGGGAAGATCCCACATGCCGCAGAGCGGCTGGGCCCTTGAGCCATGGCTGCTGAGCCTGCATGTCCGGATCCTGTGCTCCGCAACGGGAGAGACCACAACAGTGAGAGGCCCGCGTACCGCAAAAAAAAAAAAAGTGATTACTGATAGGTACATACTTAATGCCATTTTGTTACTTGCTTTCTGTTTGTTTTTGTGGTTCTTTTCTGTTCTCTTCTTCTTTTGGTCTCTTCCCTTGTAGTTTGATGATTTTCTTTAGTGTTACGTTTAGGTTCCTCTTTTGCTTTTTGTGTATCTATTGTAGGTTTTTGGTTTATTGTTACCATGAGATAGATAGAATGGATAGGTAGGTAGATAGATAAATTTGTTTTAAGATGATAGTTGTTTAAGACATTCTAAAAGCTCTATATTTTTCATCTCCCCCCACCCCATTTTACATTTTTGATGTCATATTTTACATCTTTTTGTGTCTCTCTTAACTATTTATCATAACTATAGTTGATTTTACAACTTTTAACCTTGATAGTAGCTTTTTAAGTTGTTGATCCACTGCCTTTACTATAAATTTGCCTTTACCAGTGAGATTTGTTTTTCCTTCATATATTTTCTTATTTCTTGTTATGGCCTTTCCTTTTTCACTTAAAGATGGCCCTTTAACATTTCTTATAAGGTCAGTTTAGTGGTGATGGATTGTTTTCTTGTTTGCTGGCCTAGGAAACTCTTTATCTCTCCTTCAGTTCTGAATGATAACCTTGTTCGGTAGAGTATCCTTGGTTGTAGATTTTTTCCTTTCAGCACTTTAAATATATCATGCTACTCCCTTCCGGTCTACAAAAGTTTCTGCTGAAAAAATCTTATGGGAGTTCCCTTGTATGTGACTCTCTGCTTTTCTCTTGCTGCCTTAAAATTTTCTCTTTAACTTGTGCCATTTTAATTATGATATATCCTGATGTGGACCTCTTTGTCCTCAATTTGTTTGGGACTCTCTGTGCTTTCTGGACCTGAATATCTGCTTCTTTCCATAGGTTTGGGAATTTTTTAGCCATTATTTAATCAGATACATTTTCTGCCACCCTCTTTCTTTCTTCTCCTTCTGGGACCCCTATAATGTGAATGCTAGTATGCTTGATGTTGTCCTAGAGGTCTCTTAAACTATCCTTGTTTTTTTAAATTCTTTTTTCTCTTCTGATTGGGTGATTTCCACTATTCTGTGTTATGCATTCTTCTATATCACCTAGTCTGCTGTTGATTCCCTCTAGTGCATTTTTCATCTCGGTTATTGTATTCTTCAGCTCTGACTGGTTCTTTTTTATATTTTGTAATTCTTTGTTGAAGTTATCACTGTGTTCCTCCATTCGTCTCTGGAGTTTGTTGAGCATTTTTATGACTGTTGCTTTGAACTCTTTATCAGGTAAATTACTCATTTTCCATTTCATTAGGGTTTTTTCCTGTGGTTTCATCTTGTTCTTTCATTTGGAACGTATCCCTCGGTCTTCTCATTTTGTTTGACTTTCTGTGTTTGTCTCTATGAATTAGGCAAAACAGTTACCTCTCCCAGTCTTAAAGGCATGTCCTTGCGTAGGAACGTCCCTTTGCAGATTGAATGTGCCAGTGGCTTTGATGGGAG